ATTATTATTTCTTGTAAAAATGATTATCATCACCCAGGAACTCAGCGTAGAGCCCCCGAGGTAAGTTCCAGCACATCTCACACAACGGTACGCAACTGATACAGATCCACACACACCCTATAGGCTACTCTACACCTCTGGGGAGGATAACCTGCATAGGGGCCCTTCCCCTGGCTTACAAAGAGGGCTGAGCACGGTGGAACCTTATAGCTGTTAGGTTCCCAGGGTTAAGGGTTAATAAAATAAAAATTAAAACGATTACTATGAGTCACCATGCGATAAATTAATCCTACTGGGGTAATGGGTGACAACAAACTAGTGACCAAATTACAAGGTGTGAACAAAACCTATAAAACAAAACTGATCCATTTGAGATCTGAGTAACTGAAATCTTCTGAAGGGTTACTGAAGACGGAGGCAACTTTGGCAGGTTATTGCCTGTGAGGGACTCCATGTGTAGCATCTCCGTCCTGGCTTAACATGAAAAGACAACGCATCTTTCCCCGAAATGATACCTCTGTCCGGGTGACACTCAAAAGATAGTGCGCCTTTCACCAAGGTAGCACGTCAGGTCCTTCATGTGATCAGGATGGTGGAAATGTCAAATAAGAAGGCCCCCCTCCGCCCCTCTGCCCTTCCCAAAGCTCGATAATCTCAGGGCTCATACGTTGCCTTCAGGTCAGGGACAAGGCCAGTGAGCAGAGATTAACTTGTATTCAGCAAAAATTTAAGACCTATTTCTATCATTAACAGATAAATTTGAGTTCTAGGCTACATAGGGGCCCATGGCGGCAACTGGCCTAGCCGAATTGACTCCCTGAGGGCTATGGACCCACTAGCATCATCCATTTGACCCGTGTGTCCCATGGCGGCTGATTAAAGAACTTGCCGTCACTGGTGGGAAGTTCTCAGATAATGAGCTTCTGAGAATGACCCGTTTCAAAGTCGTACCAGTCGAACAGAAGAAGCCACCTCGCTTCACAGCCTGTGGTTGAGTGACAGAGAGAGAACGAAAAATGTCCTCGGAGCAGACATCTGTTTGAAATGGGAGCAGAGAGGAAATTAGCAGTAAAGTTTTCCTACATTGTCATGTAGTAAACGTGTAGTGTAGGTTTCAGTGACAATGACTAACTTTGTCAATTTTTGCCTATGACAGTATCTCTTGTTACTGTCATCACAAGAATGTCATCTATCCCAGCATACAAAACACATGAAATAACACATTAGAAATAATCACAACAATTTGCCAGTCCATTTGACTGGCTGTGAGTTTGAATATGTTTGCCTCTGGAAATGGCAACTGTGAGAAGTTTTAAATGGCAAAGTAGAAGACTTGACCACATCAAACAGTTGCATCACAGCAGCAAGGTGAGAATATCAATGACTGGAAAGATGAGTTTCATCACTCGGTCTATGTGAGACACAATGAAACTATTCTTTGGGAGAAATAATACTACAGGAGTAGCAAAAACTAAAGTGATGCAGTGACAAAGTGCAAACAGTTTGTAAGGCTGAAGACTGTAGGGTGTCTTATATGCTGTCTTTTATATATATACTTATACCTATATACTTTTGTGTCAAACATTCTCATACGTTTTGAAACAAGAAATTACTGATAAACCATCACATTAGGTGTTAAACATTTCACTGCAGAAGGGTTGCTTATGTGACGTCTGGGCCCTTCTGAGCCTTTTAGATCAACAGTTACATTATCACTATTTTGAAAATAAAAACATCATCACAGAGCTTGAAGTGATAATAAAAATTTCCAACACTGCTGCCAAAGTTCAGACCAGTTTTTTTTAGATCCACTTATGATGCCATCTCCATCACACTACACACATTCCTCTCACCCAGAAAATCCCAAGAGTTATGTCAGGATGCTGTTCATTGATTACAGCTTAGCATTCAACTCCGTCAAACCAAATAAAGTGATCAACAAACTGCAAACACTCGGTCTGTGAGCCCTTCTCCATCAGTGGATTAAAGACTCTCTTACAAACAGACCCCAGTGCGTCAGGATCGGCCACCACAACTCCTCCACTATCATTCTCAACACTGGCGTCCCCCAAGGCTGCGTCCTCCGTCCAGCCCTCTACTCGCTTTTTACCCACAACTGCACTCCCTCCCACAACACCAACCGCATTATCAAATTCGCAGATGAGACAACTATAGTGGGACTCAAATCAAACAATAATGAAACAGCCCACGGGGAGCGCACTTTTCATAACTCATCACAGTGGACTGCACATTATGGGGAAAAGGTAGAGAGGGTTTCAAGCTTTAAGTTCCTGGTGCACATAGCTGAGGACCAGATCTGGAGTCTTAACGCCTCCCACATCATCAGAAGAGCCCATCAAAGGATGTTTTTTCCGAGGACCCTGAAACGTAACAGGCTTCCTCAGAAACTTCTTTTACCACTGTAGAATTGAGATTATAATAACATACTGCTATACCGTGTGGTGCTCTGGCTGCACCGCAGCCGAAAAGAAACAGCAGGTTGTCAAGATGGCTGAGAGGATCATTAGCTTCCCCCTACCAAACCTTTGTGACATCCACTCAGGCCGTCTTCTCACACAGGCCACATACATAAGGTCAGACACCTCACACCCACACACTATTTTATTGCTTTTATCTTTTTTATTGTGTATTTTATCTTTTTGATCTTATTCTTATTTATTGTGTTTTAGCTTGTTGTGCAGCGCTTTGGAAACCGTGTGTTTGTTAAAATTGTGCTATATTGGGGCGTTGGTGGCTTAGTGGTAGAGCAGGCGCCCCATGTATAAGGCTGTTGCCGCAGCGGCCCGCGTTCGACTCCAGCCTGGGGCCCTTTGCTGCATGTGTCTCTCTCTCTCTCTCTCTCTCTCTCTCTCTCTCTCTCTCTCTCTCTCTCTCTCTCTCTCTCTCTCTCTCACACTTCACTATCCTATCAATTAAAGGCAAAAAATGCCCATAAAAATATCTAAAAAAAATAAATAAATAAAAATAATAATAAAATTGTGCTATATAAATAAAGTGGATTGGATTGGACCCCGGACACCCTCTCTTCACCACCCTTGCCATGGGAAGACGGAGGGCCCCCATCACACACGCAAAAAGGCTATGGAACAATTTTTTCCCCAGAGCTGTGGACAGACTCCAGAGATTATAACCCCAGCAAGACTTGCAATTCAAAAGAAAGAAGAGGAGGAAGTTCTCAGAGCGTATTTTTATAAATAGACGTCAAACTAACAGAGTGTGAAAGGAAGTGTCAGTGTGCAAAACTCCCCCACTTGAAAAGGCAGCTAATTTCAGGAAGACTTCACAGGACTCCACTCATCATTCTTTTGCTCTCTTTTTCTTCTTTCTTTTATTTAGAAGTTTGATGCAATGGTGAATAACCAGGTGAAAAACCTTTAAACACAAACAAACACCACTTTAAAAAAATGAAAAGCAAGATAATCACATTCAGTGAAACACGTCAAAGACTTGAATTTTTAAATAACCAGAAATAAACCTTGTGAATAAGTAACGAATAATAGAGCAATATTTTAAGTAACTATGTTAAACACAGTAAGCACATTAAATACATTCTTAGTGTGGAATTTGATTTGACTTCATGATCTTAACTATACAAAACTAACAGCTTTTTTAAGATAGATCTAAATGCTCACACTTTAATTGTATATAACTCACGTGATTTTTAAATGCATCACAGTCTTAATTGTGTTTAACTACCATGGCAGCATTTTTAATTATATTTATCCCACATTATTTTAACCATTAATATTTATAGTTCTTAATCAAATCATTAAAGTGACTTGCAAACAATGGGCTACAAACAACAGACAATGCATGAAAGCTCACCGGCTCCTTCTTCCTTGTAAGCTTAGTTTTGCACAAAGAGTCTTGGTGTCCAAATCATCATAAATCAGCAACCTCTCATACTGCTTGTTCCCACTGCTGCTTTGTAGTGCTTCTGTGACTCCAAACCCAGATGACTAGCAAACCACCCTCACCTGGTGCACTCAGCCTTGAGCCTTCAGGCTGGGAGGGGCATTCAACCTGGTGCATCCAGGCTGGAAGGGCGTGGCCCACAGTTCAGCTCAATAGGAAGTGAAATCATTAATGAATGAGAGCATCACATACCCAACACACCCAACTTTTAGTGATGGTTCTAGATAGAGAGCTATGTAGGTAATGAACATGTAGGTAATCCTGACTACACCGCTGTTCAGTTGTTGTTTCACTAATTGTAGATTTTTATATATATATAATTTTTGATCTACACAGTGATCTGTAAAATGTCAATCTGAGGTGCATTTACATACTGTACTTAATTTAGATCACTTTTTGTGCTCAATTTTATTCTTAACATTTACACTGAAGGCATTTTGTGGACTCTTTTTATTCCTTTGTAGTTTTGTTATTTTGAAACCTGATTTTAAAAAAAAGAGTGTACACATATTTCTGTATCAGTTCCCTGTGTAGTGTGTGTGACTGTTGAGATATTTCAAAGTTCATTTGGTGCTGCGCAACTGTCGAAGTGACATAAAGTGTGTTACATGTACAGTTTAACAGTATGTATGCCATTAAGTGATTTGTTGACTCTGTCTTCATATTCTTATACTCTGTCTCATGCCTGCTTTATTTCATATCTTAATTATTTTATTTTGAATAATTTTAATATAAATAAATGAAGAAATAAACAAAAATAGCCACAGTAAAACATTCAAACACACCCCCATCTCTTACTTTTCCCATAGATGCAAGAAGATAAAGAAGTGAAGATGAAGAAGTGGCACATACCTAAAGCCTTAAATCATCAAATTATAACTAGTTTATTCTTTCAGTCATTGAAGTGAAACAGATTTCAGTGTGCTATATGTTCTGTTTCCACATAATTGTTTCTTCCTCTATTTGACCTGTTCTAAATCAGTTCGCGGTGTAGTAATGGGTTTATTAGCTCACACTTGACGAAGACACACACACAAAGAGGGAACACAGAGTTCACTGATCAGACTTCTCTGAACTTGACTTCTCCACAAATATTAAGGCAACCAGGACGATGCAGCAGATGGAGGTAGCGGATTATGTTAATGAGAGACCAAGACGTGAGCAGAAACGCAGTGGGGATGGATATCCAACAGGTAATAACACAAATTATTTTATTGTATATGTACTGTGAAACAACGCAGGTTTATATATTGTACTCTACAAAGTGTTTGCAGCTGTGTGTGCGATAGCTGTTTGAAAACTTGACCATTTTAATTGACTTACAAGAAGCAACACCTCTTTATTCAACTAGTGCGTTTCAACACTGAAGGTGATATCTGGTTTATTACTTGTTTTTTAAAGCTTTTGCCAGAGACCCTCAGTTATGACAACACTGTACTCACCAAGTTAATTTAAAGCTCACTCAACCATCTCCTGAAGAGGAACAGGAAAAACCAAAGCTGGCAAAATTGTTAATTTGTTTACAATACAACCTGTCAGATTATCAGTCATGTTTCTTGCTCCATTACACATAATGTCAGTGGCTAATCTGGGAGTAACAACTGACAGAGACAATGGCCAAAGCGTCAAAAATGACACCCAAGTTGTCAGAAAATGTAGCTATCCGAATCATTAGCATGCTAACGATTGCCATTTTACCCTTGCAAAACTTTATATAGTAAAAGTTACTTCAAAGCTAGAGAGCATAGGTGTCTTTATGTGTGATGCATCAACAAACATTACACACATATGCTGTTGATTTTGCAGGGAGAAGACTCTGTCAGCTGCTTTTCCTCGGCTTTGGAGTGCTTTGCATTGTACAAGCCATTCTCAATGTTTCTCTACGCCTTACAGGTGAGGGCGCTTTCTTTGCATTGAGAAACTTGAAATTTGCTAACATAGTTGTGCAGACAGTACCACAATATTACAAATACATATGCTCTGTGGTGTAATTTGACATGTTGCTTTTTTCACATTTTGCTGTCAAACAAAACCTTTTTTGATTTAAATCAATTTGAAAAATATTTTGAATGTACATATTTGTTCATACTCTCAGTGTCATCGAGCAAGGAATCAACTCACTCGGACTGCAACACAACTCATTTTTGTGTCCAGAACAATACAAAGATGGTGCCAAGGGATTGTGAGGGAAAGAAGCCTGACCACTGTAACAGACTGCAAGAGAGGTTCAACGCCTTGACTGCAGAGAAAAATGATCTTCAGAACAGAAACAATGACCTCACCAACAGGTTGAGGAACGTGGAGGAGGAGAGGGACAGGCTGAAACAGAGGCTGGGGGGTGAGAACAAATCAGGTTAAGGTTTCTGACCTTAAAGAGAAACACCACCCACAAGTATATTAAGAATATTTAGAATTCCAATATGTTATTTATATGGCCTAGATAAGTTAAATCAATTTTTGTGAATGTGAGCTACTCTCTCTCAAAGTAAGAAACCAGGGAAGAAATTCTTCAACTTGTGATGTCATAGAGTATAGAGCTGCTCCATAGACAATGAATGGGAGCCAGATTTTGTGAACTCACAGTATGTTTGTTTTCTTTTTTATACTCAAACGAACTTTATCCTATCATAGTGTTCGCATTTCTGAAACACAAAATGTACGTTTGGAACGGTCGGGAACATTTATGACCTGCTCTATGACTTTATACCCTATGGCATCACAGATTTGAGTTTTAGCACTGTACCTTTTGGATTTAGGAAAAGAGTTTACTAATATTTTTTAGACCTTTAGACTGTCTTGGACTAGCTTGGAAATCCAGACCCAAATCTAGAAAGATTTAGGGTCTGGCCATGAGTAATGAAAATGGCCCAACTCAAGGGGCGGCACCAAGCATGCATTTGTAAATATCACTGCACGCAATTGGATAAAACTACCACCAATCAGAACAATACACAGGGTGACTCTGGATTTCCAGGGTAGTCTTGGACCATAGGAATAACGTATATGATTTCTGAAACTGGGCGTAGTTCCCCTTTAACTTTAGGTCCTCTTCATTTCTTCCTCTTTCTTGTCAGTTTGGTCATGGTGACATCTCCATCTAATGACCCAGCACTTCTTGTGGTTACAAAGAAACTATTGTTGTTGCAAGCAGAGATCAAAAGCATCAACTTTCTTGTTTAGTGAAGTTTTTTTCTTCTTCTTACTTTTCGAATAACCTTTTCCATTTAGACCACAAATATGAAAGCTTTAACATTTTTGGCTGTGTTTTAGGGACAAATATTGATTTGCAGGGTCTTTTCGGATAGCAGCACCAGGAGTCACCACATGTAAGAAATTGGTTCGGGCACACACATGTGCTATGCTGAAGGCTCTAGTACCAGAGGGGGCATCCAAAAAGCCAATATTATCATCATCAGTCATAATCATACGTATTGCATTAACTCTCCTAGTTTAAGGCCATTCAGGCACAACAAAGCAATAACACTCAGGGCACTCAAATGACCAGCAGTGACCCTGTGAATATGTCTTTACAACTGATCACTGTACAGTTGCAGTTACAGTCTGTTATGTATTGTACATGCTAATTACAATTAGTGTTTTATAGTCACAGATAGGCAATAACATATTAATATTTATTGTCTTCAGATTACATTAATTGTCAAATTCAGAGTCTTATTTGTATTTACAGCTCCCCATTCAATTCCTCAGAGTCTAATTTGTGATGTGTTGTTTGTTGATTTCATCCTCCAGTGCCGAGTGGTTGTCTGTCCTCTCAGCAGTGTCCTGCAGATTGGAGTGAGATTAACTCCAGATGTTATTTCCTCTCCACTGAGAAGAGGACTTGGGAGGACAGCAGGAAATACTGTCAGAGTAAAGATGCTGATCTGGTGGTGATCAACAGCGAACAGGAGCAGGTACAGTACAGAAAATCTGTGACTGAGTCTGATTGCATGAGTGTTTGCAGTTCTTGAGGTCGAAGGAGAACTTTTGAAGTCATAATTACATGTGATCTCAATCAACAGAGGGCCTTGTACCGTCTGGATGGGGATGCTGACCTCTTGTTCTGGATCGGTCTTAGTGACACAAAAGGGACCAACAGGTGGACATGGGTGGATGGATCTGAGCTGACCAAATCGTAAGATTTAAAATAACTCTGTAGTTTTATGCTGGGCAGGCCGAGTAAATTAGAACTGGTTAAGAGATCTTCACAGGTCTAAAATTTTAGACTAGATCTGAAACCGACCAATTTTTTTTTTAAAGAGACCTTATCTGGTCTGATCTAATGAAAATAACTTTGTGACATATATGCTGAAACTATCCCTTTGTTCTGAAAGAAGTACATGAGACAGACTATCTGAAAAATGTCATGTTCCTCCTCCTGCACAGAATGGAAAAAGGCTACATATAACATGAATTGTAATTCACTTTTTCCTATATTTTTCTTTGTTTGTTTTGCTTCAGTTTGGGCATTTAAATCTTCCATTTGGACCCAGTGCAAATCGTCCTGAGGATAATTAGACCCAACTCAAAATGTGATTAACTTTAATAGAACCAACAGGAGAGAGAAAACCTACCAAAGGGGGGAACTGGGTCCAAGGTGACACACAGAGATGGGACATGGTCTCATTTCAGTTTTGGCATGAGAAACATATGTATATATATTAATATTACCCTAAACCATCTGGTTGAATGGTCACAAAGGCCCCTATGATGTTATAGTGTTACACAAACTGGTATCAGTCCAGTCATCTAACATGAATATTCAAACTGAATCTCTCTGACCTTTATCACTGTGCTGTCATTTAGGTTTTGGCAGTCTGGACAGCCGGATCGCAGTCCCACCAAGGTAGAGGACTGTGTGGAGATGTATCACCTCAACCCTGTCCAGGCCAACTGGAATGACGCCCCCTGTCGAGTCCAGCGGCGCTGGCTGTGTGAGACAGAGCTGTGTCCACGTGTGCGTAATGTGTCTGTGGTTGAGCAGGATAAAAAGAGAGAAAGAAATCTAGAGCTAGAGAGAGAGGCTGAGAGAGAGATGCTCCCAGAGATGCAATAAACTGGGCGACACCACTGCTCAGGAGCATATTATTATGTGTTTGTACATGCACGTGCAAATGACTTAATGTGCTTTTGCATGCAGCAGAGCTAAGACGTTCACATTTGGAACCATTCTGAATAAAAACTGATTGTCACAATAATAGAAAAAAATCATCAGTGACAAACTAAAATATGGAAATATAAGCAAATTTAATTTAGAACTGAAGGCAACAATGAATTTGATGTATTTTAAACAAACTGTTAGCCAATTTTGCAATACCTTTGGAGACTATGGTAGTATGCTTTGTGACGTACTTTGTATTGCATCGAGATATTTTGTGGCACTTTATGTGCTAAATCATATGTATGTCGTACATTGTTGCAATGGTGTAGTGGTAGTCGATGAGGTGGGTTACTATTAGGTGGATGGATGGATGGGATCAAAATTAATTACCATAGACGTAGTATTGTGCTTCCTCATGTGTATAAGGCTTCATTGTACCTGAAGTAAACTGTGTCCTGGGAGTTTTCATTTGTGTATGAGAAGCGTGCTTTGTAGCTGTTCTCATTACAGGTATCAGTTAACTAGAGGCCTCCCTTTGCCTCCCTTTTCTGTGCATTTCAAGTTTTAATTATATTATGTGACTGAATCTGTGATTCTTAGTCAGACCTACAGAGGACACTCCAGGGGCTCTAGTTTCCCGGCGCGGCGCAGGGTGGCGAACCCCGCGCAGAGCTAGTTTCGAGCAGCGCATCCCGAGGCGCACTCAGTTTGGTAGTTTGGCAGACCGAGGTGCGCTGAGATGAGTGTGGCAGCGCAGCAGGGGGAGGTGTCAACAGATCAAGCTTGGTGCAGTGACAGTTTCGTGCCAAAAGGCTTTGCCGAAGGTGCGCTAAAAGCTCGTCAACTGAAACCACGTCTACTGTCAGCGCAGGCGAAGCGCAGCCGGTGTAAGCCGAAGTTTGGCTGACCGGCGGACAGTGCGCACACGTCACCAAAGCCTCACAGGCAGGTTTCCAGAATAACAGGCACATTAACGATGCAATAAATACCCACAAAAACCACTATTCAATGCAACTATCTGCAATCAGCACATAAATGTATCTCTATATCGACTGTCCCATCACATCTGATGTCAGATCAAAGGGGATTGGCACCGTTTGGCCCGCTTGGCACGCGTAATGGAAACCCAACCTGATTTGATTAACACAGCTGCAAACTAATGAGTTCACATCCCTCTCAGCCAACCACAAACAGCCACAGCATCAGATAGGGAGTATATATTCAGCATCTGTCATCTTAGAAAAGTCAAAAGAAAAGAAACAGAGTGAGACTGCGAGAGAGAAAGAGAGAGAGCACGCGCGCACGAGAGAAACGCAACATTGATTTACAATTGTGGTGACCTCCTCCCAGGCTACCTTTGCATCATCAGCCCGTGGAGGTCTGCTCGCAGTTCCGTATATTTGGACACTGCGAGCTTGTACCTCCCGGACCAAAACATCAGTTTCCTCCTGGGAGAAGTTTGGCTGTCTGACGCTGCTGCTCTCTTCTGCCATGGCGAATTGAGTAAACTCTCATTACGCCTTCACACGGCGCATTTAAGGGAGAGGAGAGGGGCTCATTTGATTGGTGTGATGTGAATGGGCTGTGTAAAAACCACTCCTCTCTTTCCGACTCGGAGGGACGGAGGGGGGAAAGAGGAGTAGCTGCACCAGGGCGCACGGTGTGCCAAACTAACAAAATCTGCCTGGCCACACCCATTTGGCGCCTCCGCCGCGCCCGGTCTGCGAAACTAGAGCCCCAGGTGTCTGAGCTCTCACCTTTCATCTGAAATAGACTCTGAAATGACTAACTCTTATTATTCTGTTTTTATCACTTTATTAAATTACACAAAAGACAACTTGATCATTTCACTCTTTATTTATTCACTTCTGCTGCCACAAGGACAAAATGGGTATACTCTTTTGTATATTCTGATGGCTTTTGGCTGATAGGAGCTTCTTTTATGGGCCTGTAAGCCTGAAAAAGAGGTGGGAATACCCCATTTTCCTACGCAAACTCTCCACTACACTACTGCATTGGTGTTTGGTAGATGATTGTCTTGTTGAACCTTCATTTTTTTATTGATTAATAGAGAAAGAATAAACAGCTAAGCCTGCAAGAATAATGTAATGTGCTCCAGCCCCCATTAATCTGTGAAGATCTATTGTCTCATTATGTGCACTGCATATAATCTATAACATGCTTGTTATTGAAGTGAACACAAGACAAAAAATACAAAATAATACAGTGTGTAAATCATTTGTGTTCCCATTGCAAAGATACTTTTCTGTCAACTCTACTTCTTCTTCCGATTTGTTTTTGTGTGTTGTAACACGGGATCACAGACTCAGGAGGCGGGACAGGTGAGGTAGAAACTTGTTTTGTATTGGTATTGTTATCAAAACCTCCGTCCTGATGGAAGCATCTGAAACTTAACTTGGAGGGGATGTTGAGAGTCTGAGACAATAGACCAAGCTTTAGAGATGACCCTCTCTTCATATGCTGGAGGTTATTCAGAGTAACACCAGTGATCTTGCAGCATGACTTGACCACTTTTTTCAACTTGTTCTTGTTTTTAAGGCTACAGATTACCAATGCTGTAGGAAAGGTCAGACTCAATAAGAGCAGAATAGCACAATTTCAGGTTATCAGACACAACAAGTGCTGCCAAGTCACCAGGTCTAGGCTTTTATAACACATGTCCAAATTTGCCGTGTTTCCCTCCCAGGCACTAAGTGAGAAACTACAAGAGTAATTTGTTTCTGAAGGCCAGAAGGTTGGCAGTCCATTTGACAACATGTGAGTCTGAATACGTTTGCTTCTGGAGACATCACCTGTGAAGTTTTACATGGCAAAGGAGAAGACTCAGCCACATCCATCAGCTACATCACAGCAGCAAGCTGAAAATATCTGGAAGGATGAGTTCCATTGCTCTTTCTATGTGAGACAGGATGACACTAGTGTAGGAGTGGGAAGAACTAATGTGATGAGGTGACAAAATGTACACTGTTGGTGAAGTTGACGACTGCAGGGACTTTATTATCTGTCCTTGAAAAAGTCTGATATGTTATCTATCAGACTGTTGTCAGTGAATCAAATAACAATGACATATCAACAGAAATTGTATCAACATGCAATTTATTACTGTGAGATTACATTAAGAAGCTTCTGACAATTCTAACATCTTAGATTATCACAGTGTTTGATGAAGAAATGAAAAATTTATTCATAATAAATACATATGAGCAACAAATGCTAAACAAGTGAAAGTGCTGCTACTTTACAAGGGATCTGCTTGATTCTCTGGCTCAGGTGTGTGGAATGGATCCTTCGTCTCTGGCTGGCTGCAGGAGCAAACCGTTTCTGTTTTTTGTTTTCGTTTTTTTACCGGCAGTGAGATCATAACTTTAAAAAATGTTTGAAAGAAAAGTAACCAAAGACAATGTATAATACTGAATATTTTGTTTGTTTACAAGGTATTTTGAATTTTGAAACCTGTTTTATTGACCTGTTCGTAATAAATTACTTTTTTTGGACTTTAAACATTTATCTCAGCATTGCAAGTTATTGGTAAAGAGAGAGTCAAGACTCAAGCCAGCAGCAGCCACATGTAGAATACAGTGAATGTCTGTACTTATGAGAAATGGCCTAACAACTAAACATTTCCTGCAATTAAACTGGTAAACTGGTTTATAAACAGTGTGCTGTGAGATCTGCCACTGCGCACCTCACAACTGTGCGTAATAGTCGCGCGTAATGACTGCTCCTCGTCGGTTAAACTGCACGTCTCTCATGTTTGTCTCACTGACAGGTGGAGAGCCCACAGACAGGTACCCATTAGCTACGAGCCGCTCCGCCACTGACTGCTCTTGTCCTGTCCTCTCCCTCTTCTTTCTCTCCTGTCCTCTCTGACTATCACTAAACTCTGAGCTTAATCATTAGCTTTTAGCTTAGCAGCACTCGTAATTGAGTAGGCTTTTGAACAATGCAGGATAAATGTTGCAGACAGTTTATATTATCAGCCTGGGCCTGGGGCTTGGTGTAACAGTAAATGGGATGTGTTGTAACTTGTGTAAGTTAAACTGTGTTTGTGTGAGTGAACATCTTACCCTGCGATGCGCAATGTGGGCAGCTGGGTCCAGCCTAGCCCCGCCTGTTGGAAAGAGTGTGGGATATACCACTTCTAGGAATGAGAGGGGGGGACTAAATCTTTTAAGATTTAAATAGCACATTATTGCGCGATTATAATGAGCACCGCTTACATTGTGCTTTTAATAAATACTACTGCATTGTTCAAAAATTATTAATTGTGTCTCAAATTATTCTAGGGGGGTACAGCTTTACTGCAGGTGGGGTCATGTCCCCTCTGTCCCCCCTGGGATTTCCGCCCCTGGATATAAACTAAAAATACTGAAAATGAGTAAAGGTATAAATATATATACAGTACATCATGTCATCAGGCTGCAAGTAGATGGATAGTTTTATTGATGCAATATGGTCACCTTAATTTGCAAAAAGATTTATAATTCCAGTCAATTATGAGTCTGAGATGACAGAAAATGCCTGTGATCTATTGCAACTTTCTGTGTATTTTGAGGTTGTTAAACTTTTTATTCATCATGGGGAAAATGAAAACATTATACAAACATTCCAATGTCCTTTATGGCATAACCACCACCATTTTGGGTCTTAATTAATTAGGGTTTAGATCATCATAGAAATAGTGTTAGACTGAAATATTAAGTAATTCTCTACAATGGATTGTTTTTGAGAAACGGTGGGGCCAATTTTTGCAGCCATGATGTTCTACACCTCTGTCTGTGTGAACCACAATCTTTACACTGAAACCTGGACTAACATCCCTTTTTCTTTGTGCTTATTATAGCCACAAATGCATCAAATAAAGACGGAAAAAAATACAGCTAGACAGAGGTTAATTGAAACAATTTTTGCATCTAAAAAAAAACAAGAAACAAAGGTTTTTCGACAAGATGTGACATTTTGTTTCTGTTATTATTTGAGAGAGCTATTGGTAGAAATGATGATAACCAGATTCATAGGGTAGGACTCTCATTGAGACATGCATCAGATCATAACCAAACTATTATCAAACCATTAACAGCTTTAAAGCACATTACATAGTCCCCTTTTTGCCTCATAGTAATGGCCCAGGACCCCTTATAAATTTGCAAAATATTTAAAGAAGTTCTCTTACTTCAGGCTAACTCTCAGTGATGTGGTTGTCAGATTAAATCTCACAGACCCAGTAGTTACGATGTGAACAAGGAATATCATTCCATTTTAATAAAGGATCAGAACTTTTAACGTACATCTCTGCACAGTCTTCTTTCACTCCTGGTTGCCCACCATCATCAGGCTGTGGAGCGTACCAGTACCTGTGAGGAGATCATCAAGCAATAGTAACTTTTCTCTATAATTTCACATTTCATTTCCATTTTGTTGCTTTTTTAGCGATGAAATCTCTTTTTCATTCTTTCTTTTTTCATGCACTGTACATGTAGGCCTACTTTGCAGTCAGAGCTGTCCCGTCCACCCATTTCCAGACACCCTCCTCATCTTGATCAGTCAGCCCAATCCAGATTCTTTTGTCGAACTTAATGACAAATTTCTGTTTGAAAAAAACATATAAAGATGTATGAGAGATGATAGTTGTATGATAAGACACCAATGGAGCCCTCATATTGCCTCCAAGAGCTCACACATGGTCCAACAATCTATGTGCTCAGGTTAATAAAAGAGCTAAACTGATGTTGATTTGTGATCTTTTCATCTGCTCCTCTTCACTATTGATGATCACCAGGTCAGCTCCTTTGCTCTGGCACTCCTTTCTGCTCTCTGTCCAGGTCTTCTGTTCAGTAGATACATAGTAACAGCTGGAGCCAAGCTTCACCCATCTGTCACAACAGTTTTTCTCTGTGTCTACAGCATAAAAACGCACACACACGCTCAGGACCAACAGAGACATCATAAATGATAATAATAACCCATTTTCATTAAAGGATAACTTCGGTATTTTTCAACCTGGGCCCTATTTCCCCATGTGTATGTGTGCATATGATTCATAGGTACAACTCGTTCTAAAATTGGTTCAGTATTGAGGGAGGCGGATGCAGCTGGGAGCCGTGAAAAGAGCTAAAACAGTAACGGGGGCAAATGTGTCCCGTATAAGTTTGCACATTAAAAGTGTTTTTTTCGCCACTGACCAGTTCAGATCGCCAGTGCTATCTCTGTAAATAGCATAGTAAACGTTTCCCTTACCCTTCACTTGCTCTGGGCTGTGACGTCATCTTGCGAGAGATGAGCCTCCCTGGGAGATTTTGTAACATTTATCCAATGACCGTCTTGCTTTGCTGCATGAAAAAACTTGCCCAGCGCTGTCTCATAGGAATGCTTGGAGGCTCCGCGTCCACCGTGCTGACACGAGAATGTATGACAGGGAGGTCGCGTTTGAAAACTGGTGATAAACAGCTGACATTTGAACAGCATAATCATGATGTTAAATGCATCCTAGCGCACGTTTAATGCAATATAAATTCTTATTTTAAAGTAAATTCAATAGTGAATATTTGACCATTTCTTCTATGAAATTTTAGGGGAAGTTCAGCCTCCGTTGTTGTCTCATGGTGCACAGGTGAGGTCAGGGCTATATAAAAAGGTAGGAACCAGGTGTCAGACTGTAAGCAGCAGGCATCCACAAGACACAGCGCAGTGAGGCAAAACTTTGTTTTCACAGTCTATGGGCAAAACGCTGAATAGGACTTTCACTTTCGCTGGCGAGCATGATTACAAACAGTAGCTTACAATTCTGCATATTATTCTAATTGAGCCAGTGCCTCCTGTTCTTTTATACATTGGTTTGCCATCATTTTGCTTGCATAAAATCCTAGATGGATGAAACTGAGTGCTGAAGCCATGAAGATATTCCTGAAGAAGCCTGCCGGATACAGGCCCAGGGGCCCAAGAGCCTCTGTTTGAAGAAAGTCTTTAAAAAGTCAACAGAGAGAAGCAAAATAGCCAGAAAGAGATGAAAAGGGACTACAAATAGACTCAACATGACTACAAAAAAGGCACAAAATGACCACGAAGAGCCTGGAAATGTTTCTCTCAGTCTGTGGTCTCGCACATATGTAGGAGAGGTGGGGGGCATCTACTTGTCTGTGCCCAGGGAGCTATTGTCTCAAAATCCATCCACAGCTGAAACACAATGACCTGAAATGTTCTTTTTCATGTCGGTCCTTTCGGTAAATAAAATATTCATAGAAATAACATGCGTAATAGGTGTAGAGAATATAATACCCTGCAAGTGATGTCTTCAAGCTAGAATCATCTTCACTGCTTGTGAAAACATTTGGACAGAATGAACAACATACTGATGACTTTGCTCCAAAAATGTAAAGTTTGCCAGGCGGTATGAAAGGAAAGGTCACTGGGTTGTCACACGCAAATGTGTTCATTCTCTTGGGATAAAGAAGCAAAAAAAATCCTCGACAAATCCTCACATTTCATAGAAATCTATTAGTTATCACATTAGTCTGAGGGAGCTCTCATACTGCCAAAAACTGAACAAAGTGACACTGTGTAATGTGGAGTCACCCACAGTGGCCCAATGTTTTCTTTTTTCAAAACGACTGCATGGTGATCTGAGCCACATCAACCACCGTGGGCAGCCATTACCCACACTGATCGCTTCATGGCCAACAACCAGTTACAGCTGCTGGTTAACACAGTCGAGTCGAGCGTCATGTGCCACGAAGATGAGTGAAATAAAAAAAATAAAAAAACACTCATAAAATCTACTTTTACTCATGCACAGAAAAGTTGAATTCCCAGCAAAGTACAAAGATTCAATTTTGAATTTTAAACAGATGAACCTAGACCCACAAGAAGTAAGAGTGAATTACCTGAGAGGAGCTTTGTCTGCAGATCATTTTTGTCCTTGGTTATGGCTTCAAATCTTTTCTGCATCTGGTCTCTCTCTGCAGACAAATTGTTGTAACTGCTCTGCAGCTGAACCCACTCAGAGACGCCTTTGGTGTCTGTGTTTACCACATAAACAACAATTACTATTAACCAGCATCACCTGCTTAGTGTTTTATCTGCATGCTAACAGAGCACTCACATAGGAAAATCATAGTTATGAGTCCAGCCAGTAGGAGAAGACTCAGCAGACCCAGAAACACAGCAGCACCTCTGCAGGAACTCTTCTTTGCCCTGTTAGTATCTCCAGCACCTAACGTAAAGAGTAAAGGAAACATGTCAGTCTGATTTGACTTGCTACAGAATGTAAATACTGTGCTGAAGAGGAAACTTTTTTAATGAACTTGAAAGAAATTTGGATGCTCACAGCTTCTCTGACAAAAAGTCCCAGAAGTGAGGACCAAAATCATCATAGACTCTAATGGTCTAAAAGGTTCAGAATGTTTCATCAGAACTGCTTGTCAGATAGTCAAACAGATTTTGAGCCCCCTCCCTCCACACCTGTTCAACGTTGGTCTAAGCATTCCTCCACAATCATCATTATCAAACATGTCTTTCAGCTTTGTCAGTGGTGTTGTTGTGTGAGTGGTGGAATGTAGTCACTGTGGCAGATGTTACCATGAGAAAATAAGCAGCTGGTGGGCATGTAGCTGAAAGCTTTTTTTTCTTTTTGGTTAAGATAAAAAGATAAGAGTAGAGTAGTAGAGAGTATTGTATAACAGCACATCCTTTTAAGCACAGTTACAATTCTGAACTTTAGCTAAAATGATCACACCAAGTAATCTGTGTCAAAGTGTAACTCACTCAAAACACTTTAGACATGAATTCATCAGTCATATCCCTAACACAAAATGTTTTTTGTCTGTCTCACAGCAGTGAAATGTCCAAGGATTTCTGTTAGAATCACATTTCTGTATTTCATCAAGAGCTAATGTTTCTACAGTCAACCAAAAGTGAAGTCAAATATCTTCTACAGCCAACTAATTAATATGCCAAAAAAACAAGTGCTACATTCACACATGTTCTGACTGACTGTGAAAGACGGAGTTACAGCAGTATACAACAGAAAAGAAAAGCTGTGCACCTAAGTTAGATGTCTCAATACAAACCCAAATATAACTGTAAAATGGACAATAGTAGAAGCGAAGATCAATATACTGTGTATCCTCTCTACCATTACCACTTCATGATGGGAGAGAGATTGTGGGTGATGTGGAAATGTATATTTGTGTGTCATCAGCATAGTAATAATGATCAGTTGCATGATCCCTGATAATATTTCCCAGAGGCAGAATCGCGATGACACCACAATGAAGTTTCAGAAAAATTTGGTCTCATGGGAACAACAGAGTATATTAAAAACAGAAACTCAGTGCTGTGGTTAACTTCTTTGCTCTCTCCGTCCCCCACTTTACACTATGGTTTCTCATTGAATTCTTTGTTTCGTTCACCTAAATTATTTTAAAATCTGTTCAGTGTTTGTGTGTGCATAAAGAATATTCACATATTTGAACAACCCTGCAGTCAATATGTGTATGTGTAGTATGTGTACCTCTGTGCATGTTTTCATTACCTGCAGGTCCAGTTCTGTTCAGCTCTAGAGTTTGGATCCTATCTTCATTCTCATAAACACTTTTGAAACCTTTGACCAAATTCTTCCTTTTGCCAGGATTACCTCTTGGTCTCTTTACGTTCATGTAGATATCTTGTTGATCCATGATGTTCAGCTGTATTGACGGTTCAGTTTGAACCTGAGGTGCCTAAAGCAGAAGTAAGAAATGAGAAATATCTAAACTGTGGTTCTACTGAGAAGGCAGTGCTAACACAGAAGTGTATGTACATGAGGGCTGGTGGGATGATGGTCATGGTTTTTCTTGTAGATGTACGGAGGTGCTTTCCATTTTGCTAAGACTACTGCAGCAAGATAGGATTTTTGAATCTCACACTTACAGTAACTGACCACTGCTCAGTCATTAAACATGTATATATAAAAAAAATGTGTATTGCACCTGTATATACACATCTCTGCACACATTAATAAACAGTAGGTCCTTTATACAACTAAAACCACTGTTTAATTCAACTGACAGTTCTCTGACTGCAGCACATTGTCTTATTAACACACACGTACTCTAAAAAATAGTAAATCCCTGTGCACAGCGGCGCAGTGCTTCTTCTAGGTGCCAGCTGGTGTAGGATAAATCACAGTCAAGAGTTCAAAAACTTCTTGGTATACTTACCATATACTTCCTTAGAAAGCCAGTTAGTTTTTAAAGAACCTGACATGAAAACTAACTGGCTTTCTAAGGAAGTATATGGTAATTATAGGTGTGGCTGATGCACCCATTGCTCTAACACGTATGACACCAAAGAGTTCTGTCATCCTCATACAGGGAAGAAGTATAAAATCAAAGAGTTCATTAATTGTATTTCTACACATGTGGTTTATATGCTCAAATGTCCGTGTGGACTTATATATGTGGGCCAAACCAAACGTAATCTCAAACTGAGAATAGCTGAACACAAAGCAGCTATAAGAAATGAAAATATGGACTATGCTATTGCAAGACACTACAAGGACAGAAATCATGGTTCGGCCGCCTCTCTTAAATTTATAGGTATTGAGAGAGTTAATCCCAATCCCAGAGGTGGTAACATCATTAACCAGCTATTGAAGAGAGAAGCCTACTGGATATACACCCTTAACTCTTTAGAGCCACATGGACTAAATGAGACATTAGACTTGAGTCCATTTTTGTAAGCTCATTATATGTCTAACTTTTCTCTGCTTCTGTGTCTGCAGGTAATGTATAGGGAAAGTTGAGCCACTTTCACCTCTCCTGGCACATCCCCCTCCCCTCCTCCCCTGTGTAGACAGGAATGCTAGAGTAGATATTGTAGATTGTGGAATAACCTTTGTAACTTCTGGAGTATCTCCTCTTTTGTTTATATCTCTTATATTGGCCCACTTGTTTTTGATATGTATTTCTAAAAAAAAAATTTTGACTATTTGACTATTTATACTGTACTCACTCTCCCCTGTTTATATGAGTTGGTACAGCCAGATTATGTATTTTGCATTTTTATATCTCATCATTACAAGTATGTATAAACAATTGTCGGATGATGAACTGTGCAATTGTAAAGTATTTTCTTGTATCACTGTTTTGATATCTATTTCTATTTATATTGTATGCACTCTCCCTTTAATATTATAGCTAGGTTATGTACTTTGTATTTGTTTCTCATTGATTGATTGATTGTCTGGTTGTTACTTGCCCTGACTATTTAAGCACACACCTGATGACAATCAAGAGCGAATCTGATGACGCAACAAGCGAAACGCGTTGTTCGCTCCTTTTGTTGTTAAACATTTTTGAATAAACTTTGTGTCAATCCTGATATTCTAGTGTGCGCTGGAAGTTTTTGAACTCTTGACACACGTACTCTGTTTTGAATTGTACTTGTTGGAGTAATTGCCTCATACTTTTCACTCTGGCTCAGGTGAATTTTTTTCACCTCACGTCACCACTTGCACCTGAGGTAGGGAATGATTTTCTCAGACTGTACAGAAGGATGGGTCATTTTTATGAATGATGTCAAGGTCTTTCTATAGAGGCATCTATTGGAAAAGTTTTTTTTGAGAGTTCAAATAAAATACTGTGTATTAAAATGTATTTTGATATTGGAGGTAACTTTACAACATTTTTTTTTTCCTCAGGAAACACTCAGTGATCAGTGATCTTCACTGTTAATAGGCTACAACATATTTTATCCACATTTTATTTTAAACACAACACATGAGGCACATCACAGAGTACATGTAAGTCTATAGATATTATTGCCTACACTATTTATGATCATAAACAGTCTCACGTTCCACTGCTGTCCAATAGAGCCTGCAATTTACAATACACAACACTGTTTTAACACAAAAGGTCCTCACAAATACTGTAGCCACACAACGTCCTCACAAATACTGTATGTCCTCACAATGTCCTCACAAATACTGTATGTCCTCACAACGTCCTCACAAATACTGTAGCCACACAACGTCCTCACAAATACTGTATGTCCTCACAAACACTATCCTCACAGGAGTACACACACAACTACGCTTAGATACAGCTACTCCACCCTGACCTCTGACCTCTCAGTCCCAGTAGCTGTTATTTTACCCATATTATCAGAAGCAGAAGCACCATTAGATGTGATGTTAAAAAAAACATTGTATCTCTATAACACCTTTTAAAACAAAGGTACAAAGTCAAATGACAAATGAGTAAAAATACCTTTAAATAAAGTACTTGAGAGCCAAAGTCTGTTTTGAGGAGGTTTAAATGAAAAGAGGTGTGGCAGCCTAAGGTTCTGGGGTTTCTCATCCCCTTTTGATAGAAACCAGGACTGAGAAACAGACATCCCTTTTCTACCAAATTAAATCTAGTTCTCAAACCGGTTCCATGCAGGATTCTTGTAACCTTGGTGCTATCCAGCAAACCAACCTGTGTTTCTACCAGTTTTGAGCAGAATCATGGTAATCAAGAATGTGCCATCAACAGAGTGTTGTACAATGTACAATGGACAGAAGCAGTAAGATGATAGATTGCATTGATAATCTGTGAACTGTTATTAGTTACATTAGTTTTATCAACAACAAAAAAAAACAAGCATGGACCAACTATTTATGATAAGGACATGTAGAAGACTATTATGTGCAAGACTTCATTCTCTCTGTCCAACCTGTTGAATATAACATGCCCACTGATGTCATCACAGTTCACACTTCAGGTCAGAGAAAATAGTCACCTATGACAGGGGCTCGAAGCCATAGCTGACTATAGGGGAAAGTCACAACAAATCCCAAATGTCACTTCCACTTTTCCTGAGGATTATAACTCTTTCACTGCCAGGTTTGACCCCACTGCCAGACCAGACCACATCAAACCACGTTGTGAAGTTTGCGGACGACACAGCAGTGGTGGGGCTGATCTCCGGTGGGGATGAGTCTGGCTACAGGAGGGAGGTGACCGACCTGGAGCAGTGGTGCGGAGACAACCACCTCTCCCTGAATGTCAAAAAGACCAAGGAGGTCATTGTTGACTTCAGGAGGAGGAAGGAGGCTCGACCATCTCTCACCATCAATGGCTCAATGGTGGAGAGGGTGGACCCTTTAAATATCTGGGGGTGAATATCGAGGAGGACCTGACCTGGGACTACCATGTCACCGCGGTTCTCAAGTGGGCCCAACAGCGCCTCTACGGCCTCCGACGCCTGAAGAAATTCAGCATGAGGCCCCAGATCATCAGGGACTTCTACAGAGGCACAATTGAGAGCCTCCTGACAAGCAGCTTCACCTCCTGGTATGGCAAATGTACCTTCAATAATCAGTCAGCGCTGAGGAGGGTGGTTCGCACAGCCGAAAAGATCACCGGATGCGAGCTGCCCAGTCTGGAAGACCTGTACACCCAGTGCTTCCTCAGCAAAGCCCTGAGAATCATCAAGGACCCCAGCCCCACAACAGTCACTTCACCCCCCTGTAGTCCCAACGGGTGAAAGGATACAGAATCCTAAAACACGAACAAGCAGACTGAGAAACAGTTTTATCCCCCAGGCCATCAGACAGGAAACAGTAGCTGTGCAATAACACAGCATTATGCACCTTACTAGAGTGATGTACTAGTCCTGTTTTTATAGTTTATCAATTTGTTTTAGGTAGTACTGATTGCTTTTAGAATTGGTTTTAAGGTGCTGTCTTTGTTTTGTCTTTGTTTTTTTATTGGTGGAGCTTTCCAGACTAAGAATTTCACATGAATGTACCCAGTGTTACTAAGTGACTAATAAAGCTGAACTGAACTGAAAATCTTCTATTTTTTGGTTCAGGCTGGGAACCAACTTTTCAGGTTACTAACCAATTTTCTTTTTTGGTCGAAATGCTCCGAACAGTTCAAAATTTGGTGTGCAATCCACAATTGAACCTGCTTTCTATATTGGTGATGAAGAGGTAGTAAAGAGTGAAGGGCCTCGCCTGGGGATCTGCCTTATAACAAACAATATGTCCAAATTCCTGTAGTGTACCAAAGCGATCCATGCTACAGCTTCATTGTATCTTTCAGTTCTGAGCTGATCTTTATTTCATTACATGGTTAGTTCTCGCCATCTAGTGGACAGAGAGTGGAACTACATCATCTGATGTGCGATTTCTCTGACACTGGCTGAGTTTCTACCACTGGTTAGACTGGTCTTGATGTCACTCTGATGTTTCTTTAGATTTGAACTTACATACAATACACAGAACACCAGGACTGACGAGGAAGAAATGAGCAGCCTCTTCTCTCCCAGTGTTTCCCCAGCACATGAAAGAGGACTGTGTCTGTAAACTGACCTGAAGTGAGTTCAGCAGGTGAGAATCCTACCAGAGGAATCTGTAAATGTTTGATACTCAGGATCACTTTGATCATGTTGTGCTGTATCACTGTTTAACTGTACAGTAGAAATGTTTCTTGATGCCCATTGGCTCATTCAGAATATCTATTTGAAATATGTTGTCAAATTTCTTTCCGAGTTTCGCCACAATAATTTCAGAAAGACTTATATGTAATGTTGTTACTGTTTCTTAAGTAGAATCGACAATGGTTTAATGGTAATCTGAGGTTTCTTCAGGGGAAAATGTGTCTGAACTGGTCTGACAGCTTTGATTGACTTGACTAAAGTGTTTTCA